ATGCTACCAGTGAAAAAATGAAATGGATTAATATGGAAAGATATCTACATTGTATTGAGGTTAAAAAAAAAAACAAAAAAAAAAACCTGGTCAACACTGTCCCACTGTTTGTTTAACCTCCACATCAATATCTGTACAGAAAAAATGTTCTAGAAATATTCATCAACTTATACGGTTATCTCAAGAAAAAAAGATTTCAGAGAACTTACACGTTATGCTTTATGTTTTTGTATTATGTGAACCAAATTAACACACATTACTCTTACAAACAGAAGTAACAATAAAGTCATTTCCATTTTAGAAAATAAAATAATTTCAATACAAGAGTTAAGTACACAGGAATGTAATAAACTAGCAAAAGCTCTGACTTACTTATAATTTGTAGGAAGCTTTGGTATGAATGCTAGGTTTCCAGAAAATTAGTATTAAGGCTCAAACCCAAGTAATATAGCCATAATTTTGGTAGTGGAATGGCCTCTGGTAGAGATTGCAAAGTCTATATCTAGAGATCATTATGAATTGAAAAATATTTCCCTTTGTTAACCTGGACATTTACCTTACTCTCTCCTCATCCTGATCTTATAACCCAACTCACCCAACCTGGATGTCTGGCCATCGTCCCTCTCCCTAATCTTCCATTCTTTAAAAAGAAAACACCTATCTTCCTTATCAATCCTAAATTAATTTAGTCAAATCTTGTTTACTATTTACCAAACATGAACCATGTGTTGTTATGGGTTTTATTTTATTCAATTCTAACAGGAATTATCATGAGTTAGTATTAAGTTTTAATTCACTCCAGAGGTTTATATAGTTTCATGTGTAAATACAGGGCTTCTAATTCTCCTGATTTATCTTTAAAAACTGTTTTCAGCTGTTTCCAGAAAGTACTGTGAATCTAAAAGTAGAAAAACTCTTCAGATCCCCATACTGGCCAGCCGCAAAAAAACTAAAGAACAAGAAAAACTCAAAAAATCAGGGAGTGGAAGAATACCTTTTCTTCTTTTACACAAAATTCAAGTGAAAGGGAGAATACTTGGTATTCAAGCATCCCTAGGCATAGTCTCAGAAAGTTCATTTAAAAAAAAAA